ATTGGTTCTTTTCTGGCTTTGACATGCTCGGCTCCTACCACTCCCTACAGAACTCCCAGAAGACTTCATAATGCCATGAGTCATCAGGTGTTCATGACAGGACTGTGTGAAAATAAAGATAAGAGTTTTGGTGGAAGACAAAAACAGAAAAGCTGCAGATACAGTTACATATAGTCACAGTTTTGTACTGCCTTTCATCACTATACCCTGTATCTCTCCATCTCCTGGGAATGAGAAGGATAAGGGTAACCATAGTGTACTCTTGGGTACAAATTAACCAGCTCCACAAAGTTGTTATTTCAATGTTCATCAGCTTCCTCCCTTCTTGTCAGGTTTTTGTTTGTTTTTTTGTTTTTTGGGGTTTTTTTTTTTGTTTTGGTTTTTGTTGTTGTTTTTTGTATTTTTTTTTTTTTTGCGTCATATTAAACAGGCCCTAATGAATTCATAATGAACAGTAAGAGAAAAGGTACTATCAGATTCTAGTGTTATCTAAAGAATAACATGAAAGAGCTATCTTTGATCTTGGTTTTTACCCTTGTGTTTGCCTTTCTGTGAGTGCATGAGTAATGGCTTCATGTAGGTTCTCAGACTATCTAGAACAGCTGCCACCCCTGCCTCAATGATTCTGGCTACCTTGGGGATTGCAAGACTTGTGTGTAGTGGTCTTTGGAAAGGGAACTTTCAGAGGTAGGATTTATGTATTTTCCTGTAATTAGAAACTTTTTACACTCAAGGGAGTTTGCAACTGAATTGTAACAGCAGAGGAGGGATTTTACACCAGTGATTTGAGCAGGATGCTGTATTCCGATTTCATGGTCACAAAGAGAAGCAGATACATTCATCATTTGGGAACTGGATTTTCCTGAACTCAGATCCAGTGATTGTCTTTATCTTGGCTTGTAAAGGGGAAAATGTTACTTACTCTACTAATTGAAATCATATGGTGCTTATCTGTTCTGATGCTGTACTGCTGGATCTCGTGGCATTAGAAACACATGTGTATGAAACTCCCTGCCTTCTACCCCTGCGTGTGTACCAAATTTTGTTTAGTGCTCTTGGTAAAAGCTAGAGGGAGATGGATTGATATTATTATTAAATAGTCAAAGGAATATATTTTCTGATTTTTAAAATTAGGGTTTTTTTTAATATTTTGTTATTTTTTTTTTACATTATAGGGGTTTTGTCTGCATGGATGTGTACCATGTGCAGACAATGCCCATGGAGGCCTGAAGAGTGCAGCCCTTGGAACTGGAGTTCACAGCTGTGAACTGCTGAGAGGGTTCTGGAAAGTGAATCTGGGTCTTCTTCAGGAGTAGTATGTGCTCTTAACTGCTGAGCCATCTCTTCAGTCCTGGTTTTGTTTTTAAAGATGTATTTATTATTTTTATTTATACATATATTGTATGCCTACATGAATTTATATGCACCACATTTGAGCAGATGCCTTCAGACTCCAGAGGGCATTTAATTTCCTGGAACTGAAGTCACAGGTGTGTGAGCTGCCTGATGTAGGTACTAGAAACCAAACCCTGGTCCTCTGCTAGAGCGGTTATGTGCTCTGAATCGCTGACCCATCTCTCTAGCTGCTAAATTAGGTATTAAATTGAGTTTGGGCAGTAGGTAAGAGACAAAAAGTGATGCCAATGTGATAATTACTGAGTCTTCAAGCATATCCAAAGCATCAGCCTATTTATGGAGTATTCAGCTCTGTATGTTCCTCTATGTACATAACTACTGCCGTTCCAGGCAGTGGCCTCCAGGTTAGGGCACAAGCACACCAGATCAGCATAGATGTTTTGCTGGGAACTGTTTAGGCACTTACACAGAAGGCAAAAGGAAATGTAGGGCCAAGCTAGAGAGCAGAATGTGAGAGTCTGTTCCTTCTGAAGTCACACAGTGAAATGAGGCTGCTAGCTCAACTAGGCCTTATGCCATGTCAGCACAACCTGCCCTCCCCCCTGCTGCCCTGCCCCCCTGCAGGTGCTTTTCTGTGCTTGTCCTTGACAAATCATCTTCCTTATGATACTCAGGAGGGTGAGAAGTTGTCATTATGTGAAAGAGGCCTTTAGAGGAGGTCCTCAGTCCTCTGGCACGACCAAGAATGAGTCTAACCTTTGCTGCCTTCCAGATGCTTGAAAGCCCCTGTTTTATTTGTGCATGTATATGTGGGCCTGCCTTGTAGCTGAGCTCCAGTTATATATAGTGTAGATGCACATGTGCAGTTTAAGTAGCAGCTTTAAGTTCTTAAACCAGGAGAAAAGAGAAAGAGCATGTTGTGGAAAGGGAGAGGAAGAAGCATTAAAAGATGTTTTATACTGTATCCAGGTATGGAAACAGGAATCAGAGTTTTTAATCCAATAAAGGACATTTAATTCTCACTAACAGAATTCCTGCTACATCTGGATCAGTGGTTCTCAAACTCTAGCATGCATCAGAATCCCACAGAGGGTGTGTCCCCTCAGAGACTGCTGGGTACCATCCCCAGGGTTTCTGATTGAGAAAGTCTGGGGATAAGGCCTGAACGTGCTCAGCTGACATGTTTTCCAGGCTTTGTCACTTGACTAGCCAGTGTAGCTTCTAGCTGAGAGAGAAGCACCACGGTGCTTTCTGTCTCCGGAATTCTGTGGGACCCTACTGAATGGGAAGAGCATGGCTTACCCTCTAGACTTCTTGTTATGATCCACAAAGGCAAAGAATGTAAGGTTCACCTCCCCCCAGAAGATGAGCATACTACAAACTTTACTATGACCCCAATTGCTGGAACCCATGAAAGCCATTGCACTGTAATTTTCTGAAAAACAAAATTGAAGAGAAAAGGCAAGGTGCACATTCATTTCTTCTGTAAGTGCAGTAAACTGGTACTCCTTCGTGGTGTCTGGTAACTTGGACATTCTGGTAAATCAAGATGTCAGGCATGAAGTCAGCACTTTATTTGGTTCCCACAGGAGAAATTATAAGGTTCTGAAATCTGTTAAGACTTTCTCCAGAAGAAGGTACTTCTGCTTTAAAGCCCAGGACATTCAATCATTTCATTCCTCTGTTTTGTGACTGCTTGCTTGTTTATTTGTTTTAGGAGAGTGAACAAATATGGAAAACAGCCCCTTGCTATTGTTGCATTTCCAGATTCCTTCTTTTCACTGTTAGTGATAACTGGGGTTTTCCTTGTTTTTGTTTGCCTCTACCTAAAGTGTTAATGGGAGCAAAGCTTTATTCTAGCCCTCACACCCCAAAGGGAGAGGCAAAGAGGTTGGCAGGCATGCTTCCAGCAGTATGGACAGGAGTGATGGTGAGAATAATGCTTCCAGAGCGTCCAGGTTCCCTCCTGACTTTTCAATACTATACCCAAACTGTTTCTTCATCAAATTTGACCTTGTAGCAGCAGAACATCAACCCTTTTTTTTTTTTAATCTATCTTCCTTGATGTTTCCTAGGAACTGTAAAATACTATTAGTTTGAGTACTTAATGGTAGAAGAGTGGCATATTATTTGGAGTTTTCTTTTTTTATCCAATATAGAAAGCCTATGGCACTAAATAAAAATGTCACCATGTAAAATGAAAGGCTTTCTGTCACAAACATTTTTAAAAATTCATGAAGGTCTGAAGATTTGATTTATCTTTCCCTCTTTCTGTGATTTATTCATATTTAATGTTAGCTTCAACATTTGCAACTTGAGGAACCTTTTCTTTTTTTCTTTTTTTAATTTAAATTTGAAACAAGCTTGTTTTACATACTAATCCCAGGTCCTGCACCCTCCCCTCCTCCCCTGTTTCCCCCACCAACCCCCATCCCATCCCCTTTCTGCTCCCCAGGGAGGGTGAGGCCTTGAAGAAACTTTTCAAATAAAAAATGGCAATTGACTTTCATTTGAAGAAAAATTCAACTATGCCAGTTTTTAATGGAACAGGTTATATTGCTCTCCCTATGTTCAAGGGACAGAGAAGTTTGTTGTTGCAGTGGCTTCATTGTTGGGAATGAAAATTCACATGGCTATTTGATTGTGACAACTGTTTCGCTCATGTCAGCGGACACTTTTCATTGGGCACTAACCTTGTGTACATGGGTACAGTGGTGGAAAGAAGAGTGGGAACAGACCCCACCTCTGGAACCATTGGGTTGGTTTGTTCCTGTGTTTGATTTGAGTTCTGAACCACTGGGTAGCATGTGGCTTTGGAAACATCTTCAGCAGGGATATTATTCACTCTATCCTAAGAATGATTCATAAATAACAACAACAGAATTAGCTTCAAATGAAGGGGAAGGGGAGTCAGAGCGGACTCAAAGAGTTTTTTTTTTTTTTTTTTTTTTTTTTTTTAACGGATTGTGTTTAGGGTCTGAGGTGTGGACCTTTTAGGTCTTGGTAGAATATCCAACTGGTAGGAATGGAGCTGAAGATGCTCCTTGCTTTCGTTTTAGGAGACAGGTATATTCTTTCTAAGAGACAAGAGATTTTTGCTCACATTCATAAGGTAAGTGGAATCTTGAATGGTAAGAAGGAATTACTGTAAAGTCCATTGGCTCTCCACAGTCTAGCTTCTGCCTGCCGCCCACCTTTCACCTCCACCCATTCTCCCGACTCTCATCTCTATATTCCTTCCTTTCATTTCTTCCCACTTGTTTTTACTCGTCCACTATGGGGTTATTGTAGAGCATCTACACTGTGACACACTGGGCCTCCATAAATTCGATCAGCTTGTCATAAAATGAAGGAAACCGTACTTTTTTTCAGACCTGTAAAAAGTATCAAGCTGTCAAGCAGAAGAAAATAGAAGGCACTGGAGAGCCTTCAAGGAAAATGTCCTTTTTATCTATTTTACCCTTTTGTTTGCCACTGACGATAAGATCCATTAATATGTGGCAGCCATTCCGCAGAGCAGTCTCAACTCATGCCTGTGGGTTTTAGAACCAGCTCTGGGGGTTTTCTCATTGTGATTTTGATTTGTTCCTTTGATTAATGGAAAGGATCATCCTGATGTGTAAATCTTCTTCTTCCCTCCGCAGACAATTGGGAAGAAGTTACCTTCAGCTACAGCAACTCCGGATCCATCAAAAACAGAAATGGACAGCAGGACCAAGAGTGAGTTTCCTTAATTGCCAAAAAAAAAAAAAAAAAACCCTCACATACCTCAGAAA